TCGCACAAGTGGCGTAATTATGTACGTTTGGTATCCCCCTCCTTCGAAAAGGTATGTGCTAACCTGAGCCTCGATAGGGCATTTTCTGGGCCTACGTAATATTCAACTTCATGGCCGTGTTCTTCTTCTCGTGGCTCTACCTTCACGGCGCAAGGAACATCAAGAGAAATATCAGTGCACGGAAGTCGAAGAAAGCTGCCAAACAGTGATTGATTGTGTTGGCGTTATATGTTATCATTCCACTTCGACATTATCTACTATTACTGCTAATTCATCTCTCCTCTCCCGCACACACAAGTTCAGCACCAACAGTTCCTTTGCGACCCAGTTGGTCATACCATTGCTTATTTTCACGTTCTGAAGGATGTATGTTATCACCACATGTACCCTTACTAATATATATCAGTCCGGTGTGACATAATGCTATAGTAATTTGCACATTAGATAACTACTCTCTGCCAAGATTATTTTTGTCTTTTTTGCAATAGATGGTGGAGAAAAGTGAACATGCAGCGGTGATGCCATTTTGGATATTTACATCCAGCAGAGAGTGTATGGTAGGTCCCTCTCTCTCTCTCTCTCTCTCTCTCTCTCTCTCTCTCTCTCTCTCCCTTTCCCTCTCTCTCCTCCCAAAGCTTGTATGGAACATAAGTTTGTACTGTAGCCCAATACCAATCTTCACAATAAATTGGAGCCCTTGGTAGCTAGCTTAATAGATCACCAAGATCGTATGTAACGGCAACACATTGATCGAATTAACACGCGCGCACACACACATGGCGATAACGCTCTCTTTGTTCACGGGTTACACTCATACTCTGGAGATGACTCCGAAGAGATATTGATATGTCCAGTTGGACTTCAAAGACAGTTCTTACCCAGAACAAGACGGCGGAGGCGTGGGACCTGCAGGGTTGGCCGGATTTGCAGGTATACCGGATGGTTGAGCACTAGTGGTAGTCCAGGAAGTAGTGGAGGGAGGAGCGGGAGCGGGCCCCTGGTTTGTAGCCGTTGTTGGGGTAGCAGAAGCAGAGGAGGGAGTAGGGCCAGTAGGAGCAGGTGCGCCGTCAGGAGCGTGCGGGGGGTTCTCGATGTGGTGGCCGTTCATCAGGCGAGGCCGCTTAGCTTGCGGGCCCTCGTCAGGACTCCGGGTGCTGTCATGTTGGTGCATATAGGGCGAGGTCTGCTGGCTTGGAGGCGCCGAAGGTCCACCACTTGTGTTTGAGGGGGAAGGGCCAGGGCTCAGTGCCGACGGGGGGTTCAACATCCTGGAGCGGGTTGGGTCGTCGCTGGTGGTTGCGGGTGCGGTGGTGGTGGGTGGGTGTCTAGGTTCTGCGCTGCGATATTCATCTTGCATGCTGTTGGCGTAGCCAATGCCGACGCGGCCCATGCCTCTGTCGTGCATGACGACTCGTTTCCATTTCGCGACCACATTGTCGTAGTCCCAGCGAGAGGCCGTAGGGCTGATTTGGCTCTCCTTGGAGTCGAGTTCTCGGGCGACGTCTCGTGGGAGCGGGAGCGTGTCCGGGGGGAAGATCGCGAATTCCCTGGGCCATTGGCAGGAGCCTAGTCTTTCTACCTGGGCACGAAGTTGGTTTGCCTCCTGTTGGACACGCGCAAGCTGGTCATCTAGCGACTTTCGTTTTTCCATTTCCCTGGCGAATGCGCGCGTGATCTCGAGCTGCCATGCGTCTCTCCTGGCTTCTGTCGGCAGTGAGGCCCAATGCTTGAATGCCAGCTCCAAGTGCCGCAAACTTAGGTCTTCGTGCTGCTGCGCGCTCCGGCTGATCATGCTTGAGTCTAGACCTAAGCTTGGTCTCCCTGATTGAGAGTTGTTGTTGGACTCGGCGGTGCGCTGATCCGACTGCCATTGATCGATCTTCGCGCGAAGCGCTTGCCGGACAATATCCAGATGCTCCACTCCCGGGGGCTGGAGTGGGAATGATGATGGAGACGGAAACGGACTTGCTGCGAATAGACTGGGAGGCGGGGGCAGCAACTGCAGGCAGAGAGAAGGGAAGGTTTGCGCCTGGATGTCGAAATCGAACGGGGAGAGTCTGGGACGCATTCTGGAACTATCAAGCATATCAAAGTTAGCGTTCCAATCACTCATAGACTAACAACGCTGTCGAATACAAGCGCATATTTAGCAATGATAGGAGATGTACATACGTTGCAGCTTTGATATTATCCAGGACTTCGCGCAGAGCCAGCTCCAATGCCCTCATGGTATCCGGGTTGTTCGAGCCACCTCTATCCGGAAAAGGGAGCGGTCCAGTGCGTGATTGCGAGGGCGCAATGCGCGAATGAGACGAGCTAGTATCCTGTGACTGGCTAGGATTGGGAATATCATTGATCACACCGGTCGCATGCCACGTAGGCGTGTTGAACATCATCCTATACGCGCCATCGCGGGACTTTGACCCCGAATCGCCAGGCGTGTAGGAGTCCTGCTGGCCTTTTCCTGTTGTTCTCTCGGGAGTATCGCGTCTGCCAGACGAGGTACGAGCCTGTCGGCGAGTGATACCGCTTCGAATGCGCCGGATTTCCTCAACATCGTGGATACCGTCTGGTTTTTTCTTGAAAAGGAACTGATCCAGATGGCGACCGAGGGACGAAGAGGTGAACGCTTGATGGCAGTACTGGCACTTTCGATCCTTCAAGGCCGGGTTCTTCGCGGCACTCGAGGCGGCATTGTGATCATCACCGCCGGCAGAGCCTTCGGGGGTATCTGTCGGACGAGAAGACGCGCCTTCTTCCATGTTTCACGGGGACGCGGGGGTCGAGCCAGGAAGAGAGGCGTAGCGAATATGGTAACACTTGAAGGGACGCGTTCAATGGAGAGGGTAGTAGAAAGAGCAGTCACTGGGTTGCTGCAGCTCAATGCATGACCATAGAGGGTTGGAGAAGCTGCGTCAATCAAGAGGGACGACACAGTGGTATGGGAGGGCGTCGGGGACGCAGTAAGAGCTGCAGATGGACAGGCAAGGAAGAAGGGGAGGGGGAAAGAATTACACGAGGGAAAAGTGAGGAGAGGAACGTGACGATCGAGCAAGAACCGCCAAGCTTCGGTCTTGTGGGGATAAGAGCCTCTGGTTCTCGCCCGCCGATTTGACAGATTCACTTTCCCGATTCTATATAGAGCTTTTTTGATAGAGAGAAAGAGAGAGAGCTCTGAGACTCTGAGCATTGACTTGTTTGTAACATGTTTCAGGTGTATGCTGAAAATCCAAGATTTGCTGTGTGGGGGGCTTTATCGCTATTCACTACCACACTATGAGTCCTATCATCATTCTATTTGTTGGGACTGTTGATCTTACTCCCGCGGTCGATGTATACTCTACGAGGAAGATGTAGGTAGTTTATGAGAGACGAAGGAAGAGGTGGGATGTAGCATTGAAAAAGCAACAACAGACATTGGGACATGAAACACAGTGCTCCAAAAGGCGTTGGACTAGTACGTAGCCTGGTGGTGGCTCTTATTGCATAATTTACTCCATCCTTTAACAAGTAATCCGATATGGTGTAGTGGCTAACATCGCCGTCTCTCACACGGCAGCCGGGGGTTCGATTCCCCCTATCGGAGCTTAAACATTTCTTTTTTGTTTTCTTCCTTTTTTTCTTTCATTATTTGATACTATCCTGGCCAGGTAGATCATGATGATGTATACAATAAATCTTGCTCGGAGCTAAACTTTTTTGCTTTGATTAGCTACTGAAATATGGAAATATATATTATCTCCCTCATCCGTAAACGCCTCTCTACCAACCACGAATAGCTATATCGTATCACAACTGCTTGACAGGTATGCAACTCGAAGTCGATCTGCTCTATACTAATATATATCTCCGCCGAAAAGTTACCATCATTTCAATTACAATTTTCTTTCTCGCCAATATACACATCACCTTCGACTGCCAAACACTACACCCGAGCAGAAACCCGAACGTAGGATCTGATATCGACGAATAAAGCTGGCGTTCTACCCGACGTCCAACCCCCGAATACTACTACCGATGTCAACCATGCAAAATAATGCCCCATACTACAAAGTAACCATCAATAAATTGAACAGACCCTCAACCCTCACCGCGCAACGTTGTCACCAGTTCTTTTCACCGCAACAACATACTACCAGTTGTTACTTGCTATCAAGCGTACTACATCCCTCATCGTAACCGGCCACATTAACCACCCATGACAAGATGAAATCCTTTCGTCACATCTACACAATGCATATTATCCTGTCATCTGGCCATAGTAAAAGCGGCGAGGACAAATTCTTCGAACGAACATCTCCCCGCCTCGCTTGTCCCAGGGAACATATTGAATACTTCGTGTTCGGCGATCAGTCATTGGCGGAGAAAGCGGGACATGGATTGATTCCATCCTGTTGTAGTCTAGTAGGGAACAAGTCTCGGTTCCAACCTCGGGTTGAATATAGTTTGGCCGTGGCAAAGCTGGTATGGATAGATCGGCGGGCACATCGAGAGCTTATCGGGTATGGCGGAGATGTCATAATATGATGGACGTAATTAGTCGCCTCTAGATCCCCCGAGTAATTGCCGGTCGAAGGTTTTCCTTCTGCAAAAAGTAGAGTATGAGCTGAGTTAAGTTTTAAGGATATCACATTACACCTGTAAGATTTGCATGTTAATGTACAAGAAAAAAAAAAAAGAAAATACATCTCTGGAAGAACCGAAGATGGGAGTGCCGAGACGTCTCTTTTTTTGTTCGCCTCCGGCAAAAGCAGAAATACACAAGGATGCAAGGCTGTGCAATCCAAAATCGCCGGCAAAACCCTTTTTTCTCAAAAAAACACATCTTTTATGAGAAGGGATCGAAGCATGAATCGAAAACCTCTATACCATGCATCCTGAAATGATATGACCCAGCCAACACCAGAGAAGAGAGACACGAGGGAGGAATATAAATAATATGGCAATATTGCTGACAACGGTGGGGAAATCGTAGGTCTTAACGTGAAGCGATTGGTAAATTAAGCGACGGCCTTGTCGCCGGACGGAGGGGCAGGAGGAAGCTAAAACAGTGGCAAGTCAGTACTCAATAAGCTTCAGTAATGAGGTGTAGCCTTTGCAGCTAGGGTGGCCACACGACATCAGAGACAAATGCGGGGGATGATCTCACCTCTAGTTTTGTGTTGTCGGCCATCATTCTCTGGAAACCGATACCGACACCCTCAATGACAGCCAGGAAGACAGCACACATGATAGCGGAGTTTCTGGCAGCCTTGACACCACCACGAACGGCCAAAGCACCACCAGTGAAGAAACCAGCGATGACTGCAAAGTGGATCGTTAGATATGACTCCCAATTCCAAGGCACATAGAAACATTATAGCCATCCCTCACGGATAGACCGGGAAACATACTAGCATTGTAAGGATCCTCCTTCTTTCTGATACCCTTGATCGCACAGTCGAACGTCGAGAACATACCACCCCAAACACCGAAGTTACCACCGAGAACCGGCGCACGAGCCTTGATGGCTGTGATGGCACCTATCCGACGCTCTCCGTAGGGGCTGTTTCTGAAACCCTTCACACCGTGCCAGACAGCACCACCAATTGCCTATAGAGACAGCGTATATTTAGCTTTTACCCTTTGGTGACAAGCACAATCGATTGGGAGAACCAGTGACGTACACCCATACAGAAAGCACCACCGAAGTCGCTAAGAGCAACCCAGGGGCAGGGATCTCTGGAGTGATCCATATCGAATATGAAGGAAGAAGAGAGGACCGGAGAAAAAGGAAGGAGGTGAGTGGAGTCGTAAGCTCGAAGACCTGCTGTACTGGTCGAGCTGCACGGATCAAAGGAAGTGTAGGTCGAAAGAAGGTGACTCCAAGCTTATGCGGACGAGAGTCGGAACGCTGGGAGTGAGATAATCGATAGTCGGGTGATGAGCCTCAAGGGGCAATCGGGATAGGATGGAGAAGTTGAGGTCGGAGTGACAAGCTGGATGCTGTCTTTAAAAGAACAGAGTCTGGGGTCCGGGACGGAGAGGATGGCGGATCGCGACAGTAAGTTTTTGGCTTTTTTCGCCGGGAAACGTGACTTCGGACGGGGGTCGCAGTCACGTGCAGATAACCACCCGAAAAGTCCCATCCGGGCATCCAAACAGACCGCGCCCTGGTTTTCGTGGCTGTGGCAAGGACCTCTAGACGCCGGGATGACAATAGAAGAAAATCCAAGCAGGGATATGCAGGTTAAAGTTTTCCTGTGCTTTGTTTGGCGGAAAAGACGCCCCGTGCATTGAGAGAAAAAAATGTTATTTTAAAATCCAGAAGTGATCCCGCACTCCTTGATATTGCTATTTACAAGAATGCTATGATGGCAGGTTCCAGATGAAGTTCAATGCTCCTCCTTCATATGCCGGAAATTGTCCACCAGTGCTGATACCGAAAGGTGCCATTGACGGATCAAACGGCAACGACAGCCAGTCGTCGGCGGCGATGCCGCTTAATGAAGGAATGAAGTTCATGTCTGTCACATTCTGCGACACAGGGACGCCCATAATTGCGCCGTTGTCGCTTTCCATGCTATGAGAAGGCGCCATTGAGGGCTGCGTAGTTGCTCTATGGTTATGCTTTACCGTTCTGGAAGAAGCCAACAGGTTGCGTCTTAAACGCGATACGTGCATCTCTAGTAGAGCAGCATACCGAGAGCTCAAATGAATGTCATCGAGCGCATTAGACTTAAGCGCCTGCACGCTGCGATCGAGAATGTCCAGCGATTCACGGAGCTTTGCAGGCCGGGTCCCTAAACTAAGAGCCTTCATCAGGAAAATGGAGGAGCTGGTGACTCGAAGGAATATTCGGACGGGGGAGAACCGCAGAGCCCCGGTTTCACCCAGTTGAGCCACTTTTTGTAGTATTTGACAGCAGCCTTCAATAACCTCTTGGATATACTCATAGTCGATCGGATCAATATTGGTAGCCCGGACGTCTTCCACATTTGGTTCACTGTCTGCAACGGCACGTTCAACAACTGCCTGCATCCCTACCGAATGGGTATAGACGCGTACGAAATGGTACTCGATAAACAGAATATCGAAGAAGTGTTTGCTGAGTACTAAAAGATGTTAGCATTCATCGACAATGGTATGAGGGAGGAACCACTCAATTGAAGGGACTATGCCTACCCTGTGGCCGGAGATGATCATCTTTCCACCTGACAAGTAGCGTACGGAAGTGATCCAACAAGTCGATGTACCTTCCACTATGGAACTGTTGTCGCGCAAACGATACGGAAGGGAAGAAAGTATCAGTAACTGATTTTGCTAGCTTTGTAAGATCCATCCAGGAATCCATAAACGCTAGCCACTCGTCTCCCGGTTGGCTCAAAGCCCTGCTTATTTGTCGGCCTGCAATAGCATGGTTTAGGCTCTGTGGCATAAGTGATACACAACCTATTCGCCAGGCTAGCTGGTTGATATATACGTATAAAAGCCGTTGTACGCGCTGCCTGCGGAGCTTAATTTGGTCATCAGATATAGACCCTTCATATACGGAAGTGTAGTCGCATTTCTTATCATCCAGCTCGAAGATGCCAAGTTCATGTGCAAGCGACAAAGCAGAGCCAAGTAGCATCCACGACATTTGATCTGATCTCTTGGCTGGCTCGATCATATCCTCGAGCCACCTGTCGGCCGATGAACCTTCCGATTCTTGGTGCTCTGGGGCCAGCACCAAGTCGGAATCCCATCCGTCGCTCTCGGGTGGAAAGTGGAGAGACCTAGGGTGCCATTCTGACATCAGTAAGAGAGCCTCGATCGTGCCTATGCTCCTTATCCGAGTGTGAGACGACTTCTCCTGGCCAAAGATTAGCCGCACCACTAGCTGCTGGCAATGCTGCCAGAGTCGATGGTGAATAAAGAAGTTTCTCGACTCGCCGCCAGCCCCTGGCAATACATGGTATCGTGATGAAAGCATCAAGATTGTACAGCATAAGACAGGGTCCCGTGTCACGAGCCAATGGTGATTATTGTGGTCCGCATAAAACTTTGTTAAGATGGGGGATAGCGGTGTCATATTCTTGAAAAACCTGGCATTGTCAGTAATATTCAAATGCGCGTCTACATATTGCACTAACTGATCAATTAATGTGACTGCTTCTCTTGAAGTGAACCACCCCATCTTGACAAAGCGACAAGTCTCCCAAACACCGAGAACCTCTTTCGAAACAGGGGAAAGTTTGACTGGACGCTTTGCCTTGGCTATAGCCTCAGCAGCAAACATAGTCTGCGCATGATCGCCGGAGTGGTCCACGTCGCTGGCTTGTGCCGTTGAAGTCTGTGTATTCCGTGATTGTGTCTCGGATCTATTGGCGCTGTTTTCTTGGCTGTGAACTGCAGCTGCTTCGAAGAGAATATTAAGCGCATCGTTTCCACTCGAGACCACGGTACGCATCATGGAATTTGCCAAGGTAGACGTGGAGTGATGACGGTCACGGCGTCTCTCGGGACTGTATGGCTGCTGCGGGCTGTTATAGCTATTCCCGCGTTTGCCATTATCACGAACCGGACTGTCATCAACCACCTGAAGTACATCGTCCGGGATGTCTCTGCTACGTTTGGGAGTGGCTGATAGCCTTCTGCGTACACTTGAAGGTGGCGTGACGCCTTCTTCAGACGGTCCTACTCGGTGTCAATCATTCTGATAGTAATGCCGGAAGGGGTTGGCATCGCGCACCTCGCTTGTTTGTCCTCTCCCATGCCCTCTTCTCGCTAAACACACACTCCCTCTGCTCTCTACGACATTTCGCACAAGGCGGTCCTAATGGGAGACCTTCCGAGTCTGTTCCCAGATCGCATTTTGCCTTTCTCTGACGACAGGAGAGACAGGCCTTGTAGGTCCGCTGGTATGCCCGGTTCAAGGCGTCTCCGCTGCGGGACGGCCCCCTAACTTCCATTACTGAACGCGTAGCGGCCCGGCCAATAGCATCTTAGTGATAAGATTGAGGTTGCAATAAAAAGACCCGGATATTTGGCTGGCTAGAAAAGGGCTAGATTAGGTGGGTATCAAAGGTTCGCTGGGGGCGGATATTGCAGGTGTGAAGGGGAAAAAAGGGGGGGTGCAGGTTGGTGGGGAGCCGCAAAATACCCGCCGATTGCCGCGGCGGAGGCCTGAAAATACCCGAGCCCTTTTCACCAAGCCGGGCAAAGGACAAAGATATGACAGCTGACCTCGTACTCACCTCCATGGATACGACCCGTTGGACAGCCAACCACAGCTGGAATTCCAATCACACTATCAAGGTCGAAATGGTGTCAAAGATGGTCGGTATTTGCTGCTCATGGTGTCATCGAGAGTTGCTACGGACAAGTCCGTATACGCTGCATGTTATGTCATCGTCTGCACAAACCAGCACCATCTTGGTTATCAGACTTTATGCCGAATGCGACGCTGTATGCCAGGGGTATGCCGAACCTAACATTTTTGGCTCTCTGGGATCCAGGTTTAAGCTCTTGTCTAGAACAGATCCTCGAACCAGGCAAACAAGCCTGCCGTGACGTCAACTAAGCCCAAGAAACGAGCAGCTCGAACTCGGGACCCGGCAGCGCCCCCACTCCTTCATTCACAAAAAGAGGATTCAGTGTGAAAATCCGATTCACGCTTATTATGCCCATGAATATCCTTGTCCAACCCGGCTGTCTGGACAGAGTGATTCCTCGGGAAGACGCGGCAACCCACGCGCATAGCTCCCAGCTCGGGCCTCCACCCGCTACGGAACGCTTCCGCAGTATACGACTGGCAGATGCATATGATTCCAACTACCACCACGAATATAATGACAATAGGCAGTATTCCCCAAAGTAACACGGTTATATTGTGTATAAGAATGATCACACGCAGGTACTGTACCACATACACCCCGCAGCGGTCCAAGCCCTCCGCACCTCCGCTGCAACCTAATACGTACATAGAACGATGGTAGCTGTAACCCATATAATCCACATACTAGCCTACTAGCTACAACTACTGCTTCTCGCTATACGCTACAAGCCTCTATACTACACGAGACTGCAAGCCTAAAACTACATTCTACAAAGCCTACCCATCTACATCTCTACAAAACCAAAATGCCCGAACAAACCATAACCCTCCACACCTACTTCCGCTCCTCCTGCTCCGCGCGCCTCCGCATCGCCCTCAACCTAAAATCCATCCCCTACAACTCGATCCCCATTAATCTACTCAAAAACGAGCACCACAGTAGCCAAAACACATCCCTAAACCCCTCCGCCAGCGTTCCCACCCTCATCATCGAAAACCCGGAACACTCAAACGATGGAAAAACGATCATAATCCCCCAGTCCCTCGCGGCGCTGGAATACCTCGAAGAAGCCCACCCAACAGCATACCCCCTCCTCCCACCCACTTCTGATCCCACGGCGCGCGCAACAGTCCGTACCCTAGCCAACATCATCGCCTGCGACGTGCAGCCGGTCACGAACATGCGGATCCTGAAGCGGGTAGCGCCGCTCGGCGTGGACAGGGAGACATGGTCGAAGGAGTTAGTGGAGGATGGGTTCCGGGCGTACGAAGCTATTGTGGAGAAAACGGCGGGGAGATATAGTGTTGGGGATGAGATTACCTTGGCGGATGTGTGTCTTTTGCCTGCTGTCTGGGGGGCGGAAAGGGTGGGTGTGGATTTGGGCAAGTTTCCGGTTATTAAGGGGGTGAGAGAGAGGTTGGAGGAGGTGGAGGCTG